TTTTGACTTGTTTACAGACTCTAACACATATTGGCTGTACCAATTCGGAGTCCCACCAGCAATGTGTGAGTGTACCTTTTCCCCCACATCCTCACCAACAATTATTGTTGTTTGTATTCCTAATAGCTGCCATTCTGACTGAATTAAGACTAAATCTTAGAATAGTTTTGATTTGCATTTCTCTAATTGCTAGAGATGTTGAACATTTTTTCATATATTTGTTGATAGATTGTATATCTTCTTCTGAGAAGTATCTGATCAGTTCCTTGGCCCTTTTATTGATTTTTTTTTTTTGAAGAAGAAGAAGCTATTTAGTTAGAATCCATCCCATTTATTGATTCTTGATTTTAATTCTAGGAGTCTTATTAAGGAAATAGGGGCCTAATCTGACATGATCGAGAATTGGGCCTACTTTTTCTTCTATTGGGTGCAGATTCTCTGGTTAAATTCCTAGGTCCTTGATCCACTCTGAGTTGAGTTTTGTGCATTGTGAGAAATAGGGGTTTAATTTTATTTTGTTGCATATGGATTTCCAGTTTTCCCAGCATCATTTGTTGAAGAGGCTATCTTTTCTCCAATATATGTTTTTGGCGCCTTTATCTAATAGAAGATAACTGTAATTATGTGGATTTCTCTCTGTGTCCTCTATTCTATACCATTGGTCTACAAGTCTATTTTGGTGCCAATACCATGTTGTTTTTGTTACTTTAAGTATAGTATATAGTTTAAGGTCTGGTATAGTGATGCCACCTGCTTGACTCTTCTTGCTAAGGATTACTTTAACTATTCTGGGTCTCTTATTTTTCCAGATGAATTTCATGGCTGCTTTTGATATTTCTATGAGGAATGTCACTGGGATTTTGATTGTCATTGCATTAAATCTGTATGGTTCTGTCAGGGTATTTGAATAGGCTTTTTAGATGGAAAAGTTAAGGGGGAAACTGAGGTACCCAGGGACTAACAATAGTAGAATATACCTTTGGGTATAAACCAAGGAGTGGGATAACTGGGTTAAATGGTGGTTGATTCTATTCCAAGTTTCTGAGGAATCTTCATACTACTTTTTATAGTGGTTGCACCAATTTGCAAACACCTGGCAATGTACGTGTGTACCTTTTTCTCTACATCTTCACCAACATTTATTGTTGCCTGTATTCTGGAGTACAGGTTTTGAAGGCAAGCAAAACAAGGATCAAATTATACTCCCACTATCTATGTATTCTTGGGCAGGTTGTTTAGTATCTATTAGCATCTTTCCTTATTGTAAAACGATCCTTACCTAGTGGAGTTAGAGGATTAAGTGAAATTATTAAAGTAAAACATTTATTCTTGCACCTAAAAATAGCAGTATCTATAAATTCTCTCTTACTTTTCATGACTTTAAGTACTTTTTAATTAATAATACCCACTAACAGATAATCCTTAGCACCCAGCACTAACCCTTGATTCAATATATTTTCTTTCAATATTGATTTATCTTCCTGTCCTGGATATTTCCCTGGTCACCTAACACTTGCCGACACCTCCCAATATTACCTGAACTACTTAAGCTATTATTTGAAATCAGATCCTGTTTCTGGTAAATGCCAATTTCTTAATCTCAGACAACTGACCTACAATGCAGACGAGTGTTTCGACTCTCCCTAAGGATTTTTTCCATCCTGCAGCTTGACTCCAACTAAAGATTCAGAATGAGCTAGAAAGAAGATACAACTGGCTTTAGATTAAAGAATTCTTGGTGAAAGTTAAGCATTTGTTAATGAAGAACCAAGATTGTTTTTGCAATTTTTCCAAAATTTATTTCTATAGGGCAGATTTTAAAAATGTATTGTTACTTCACAAATATTTATCTTTAATATAGTTTGCAATTAATATTGATTTAATTGCTTTAGGTATTCAAGTTTCAAATTTAAATGAAATTAAAAAGCATACTTGTCAAGATTTGATGACCAATGTAAGATTTTTAATTTTGTTTTTCTTGTCATAGTACTTTGCCTTCTTTCTTTATCTCCTTTTGGAAGGAATCATTTCCCAGATAGTTAATATATATAACAAAAAATAAAGTAACATCAAAATAATAACATCAGTGCCCCAAAGCATCTCATTTCTTTTAAATAGATCTATACCTCCTGCAAACACAATAGTCCACACCCATATATTGAAGATGGCAAATAGTATTACTCTGAACATGGACAATTGGATCAATCACTCAGACCAATCAAGCCAAAGACAATTGAGAAATAATTGGCTGCTTTATGATGGTTCATTTTATCATTTTCAAGGCACTGGAAAGGAGGGCTTTGGTACCTACATATTCTCCCCTATAATATGGCACAAAATGTTTCTGTCTTTGCTTATGGGGGACATTCCACTCTGCAAACAAAATCAGTCTTGAGTTCTGCCTCAGTCCACATCTTTGCAAGAATGAAGTGGATAGTGCGATATCTTTCAGGTTCTAATGACACCTATTTTGGCATGAACTATTCAAGTAAATTAGGTTAGTGTTTATCAACCTTCCCACCAACACACACACACACACACACACACACACACACACACACGGTGAGGAACACATACACTCACATTGAATCAGTAAGTGCCCATATTAGTAGTACATATCCCTGATTTGAAAAACTCCCCCTGGTGAATCTGATAGATCATGATAGATCATGCTGGCCCTCCTTCACACCCAGATTGAGATCACAGATTTAGACAAGTTTTTGATTATTTTGTGAATAGCAATTCTGTACCTTAGAAATGATCATAAAGTAAAAAGTACAACTTGCCTTATATACAGGTAATAGCCATACCAGGCAAAATAAACCTACATTATGGGAAATGTAAGCCTAATTGCTATCTTTGCAGTGGATTCAATAGCTAAGTCCCCCACTGTGGATTCAGTGCACACTTGAGCCTAGGAATTGCACTTTCCCATAGCCAGTTTACTGAAGCCTTAGGGACCTATTCAGAAAGGTATCACCAAGATGCTTTATCCATAATCTCAGTAAAATAGTTCTTTGACAAATAAAAATATGTTGTGTGAACTGGGAAGTATTCATCTTTCAGAGAAATCATACTCATATTTCAGTCTTTTATCTGATTTGGGGATGACACATTTTGCTCTCTCTCCTTTAGCTGCTGCATTAAGATTTTCTGAGGTTCTCAAACTCCCTTTGATGATAGGATTGTTATTCCTCCTTTGAACTTGTCCCAGGATAAACAAATCATATCATTCTTCTTTTTTTCTGCTGTTCCACCTGTTTGGTGCTACTATTAACTATGGTCTCTCTTAGTGGAAAGATTATTATGAGATAAAATATGGAACCCTCTAAATCAAAATAAATCAAATTGAGAAGGTATTGAGAGTGTACTGTAGACTTAAGACTATACAAGGTATTATAAGGCTTTGAAAGTAAAAGAAAGTCTTGACCATTGGGTTTTATGAAATAACCACAAGCCAGATGATGATTCTTCTGAAAACTTCCACATGTACAACCAACATCCAAAAATCCCTTTTGCTTTTCACTATTGACCAACTTCCCACAATCTCTTTGAATTTCATATAAGTGCTTTCAACCCAACTACCACAATACTTTATTCCATCATTTTTGTAAAGTTTTCTAACCATCAGTTTTGTTTGTACACAACAATGCCATGTGCCATCGCTGGAATATGTCTGTGATTATATGGTTAGATGAAACTGAATTGGATAGCAATAATATAGGTACTTATTCTGTCAATAACATCTTTGTTTATATTTATGTTTAAAAAGGATATATTTTTCTGTGCATTTAATTTCATGGGATTGCTAATGATAAAGTGTGGGGTTTTTTTATAGGAATTCCTTATTTCAACAAATCATGTTTGCCTCAATACTTGTAAACATTTGTACTTGAACAGGAACATAAAGTATGGACAACTAGAGATCTCCCTCATTTCTTACTTTATTTTAGAGACTTGGTATGTGACAATACTTTAGGTTTCTCTCATCCTTGAATCAATGATGTCTTGATGCCTTAGGATAAATATTTTATATGCTTGGGGTAATTTTTATGGAACACATACTATATATCTGTCTTTCAATAAATATCAGATGTGTGCAATCTAACATTTTCGGTTGAAAAATTGCATGACATTTTATTAATAATTATTGCATTGTTTTAAAGAATCTATCACATAAATCACAGGTAAAAATACAACTAGTACAATTATGAGAGAGAAGGGACATATTTATGAATCCAGGGAACAAAGTTCGACACTCTTGTATAAACTCCAGGAAAGTTTGCTCTTCCACATCCATGACCCCAGCTAACAATGCCAGTCAAAATCCATTTTCCATCACTTTGTCTTCGACAAGATAAAGGTCCACCAGAGTCTCCCTAAGTCAAAAATAACGTTAAGTATGAAGACATTTGTCTCATGATCATCAAGTTCATTGTTACTGTGTCTAATAGATTGTGTTCAGAAGTCCCATTCTGATATGTTTTGTTTGGCTGGTCACTATGCAGCCTAGGAACCATCAAGAAATAATGTGATATGCTCGCTTCAGGAGCACATACACTAAAATTGGAGTGATACAGAGAAGATTAGTATGGCCCCTGCACAAGGACAACAGGCAAATTAGTAAAGCATTCCATATTTTGGGCTAAGGAGCTGAACAGACATTTCTCAGAGGGAGATATACAATCAATCAGCCAGTATATGAAAAAATGTTCAAAATCTCTAATAATGAGAGAAATGAAATAAAAATCACTCTAAGATTTTATCTTATACCAGTCAGAATGACAGTTATCAAGAATACAAGCAACAATAGGTGTTGGCGAGGATGTGGGGGAAAAGGCACACTCATACATTGCTGGTGGGACTGCAAGTTGGTGCAACCAATCTGGAAAGCAGTATGGATATTCTTTAGAAAACTTGGAATGGAACCACCATTTGACCCAGCTATCCCGCTCCTTGGTCTATACCCAGAGGACTTAAAATCAGCATACTACAGTGATGCAGCCACATCAATGTTTATAGCAGCTCAATTCACAGTAGCTGAACTGTGGAAACAACCTAGATGCCCTTCAATAGATGAATGGATAAAGAAACTGTGATTTTTATACACAATGGAATATTATTCAGCATTAAAAGAGAATAAAATTATGGCATTTCAGATAAATGGATGGAGTTGGAAAATATCATGCTAAGCAAAGTAAGCCAATCCCCCAAACCCAAAGGCTGAATGTTCTCTCTGATAAGTGGATGATGATGCATAATGGGGGAGGGGGAGGGAGAAAATGGAGGAACTGTGATTAGGCAAAAGGAAGGGAGGGGAAGGGAGGGAGCATAGGAGTAGGAAAGGGAGTGGAATGAGATAGACATCATTACCCTAGGTACATGTATGACTGTGCATATGTTGGGATGGTACATCATGTACAACCAGAGAAATGAAAAGTTATGTTGCAATTGTGTAAAATAAATCAAAATGCATTCTGCTATTATATATACCTAATTAGAATAAATATTTTTTCTTTGTTTATTTTACATGACAATAGTGGAATGCATTACACTCATTATTACCCATTTACAGCACAATTTTTCATAACTCTGTATGTAAAGTATGTTCACGCCAAATTATGCCATTGTACATGTACTCTCTTTTTTTTTTTGCATTACAATTCTTAACACACATATATACCACAATTTATCATATCTCTGTATATAAGGTATGTTGACACTTGAAACTGCTAATGTCATTGAATAAGTTTAGATATCTTCTTATAATAAAAAAACTACATTCATTTTTTAAAAACTTGATTTTTAAGTCTGAGAATAACATTATAAGATTCTTGCACATGCTCCATACAAAGAATAGGTGGAAGTAGCATTAAGGGCTAACATTTATTTAGTGTTCTCTATATTCCAGGCACTGTTTTGGGTCATTTGATCCTCACAACCACCTTATGGTTATCTTTGAAGGGTGATTTCTATCTCTGGGCCATGCAACTTCAGCAGCTGGATCATGGCCACAGAAGAAACACAAAGCCTGTTTTGTTTGGCAAGTCCAATGCAGCAACCCTAAGAGCCACTGTTAGACAGTTTTCATAGAGAAAATACTTCCTTTTGAGAGTCCCTTCTGATATCTCAACTTCATAAAGTCAGGACTCAAATAACTAAAGATTTAAACATAATTCGTACAGTTTAAATCCTTTAGTATAATGTCTGACTTTTCTTTTTCTATTTTAGGGAGGGTGGGAAAGTTACAACTTGCTTAAATAGCAGTCTAAATGTGCCCCTACATCCCAACTTCACAATTTTACACCTGATTAGGTAAATTCTGACAGGTTAAGAAACTGGGATCTTTATTTTAATTGATGCAATACCAGATCTACTAGTACAAATTTAGTGCATAAGCTTGATGACTGTCTGGAACAGGGATATGTAACTGACCAGCTAAACCCTAAAACAGTAACTTTAGCATTAGAGAGCCATGGGTTCAAATCCCAGCCCAGATATCTGTACTTGCTAGCTATATGACCTTGGGTCATCTATTTATCCTCTCTGTCCCCAGTTTCCTCCTCTGTAAAATGGAAGTAAAAGAATGAATTGAATGAATTTACGTAAATGATGTACCATGGTTGCTTGTCACAAAGTAGAATCTCAAAAGATAGAAGTCAGTATTATAATGAGTTTTGTGGCATCATGGCTGAAGTTGTGGAATGATATGGGAACCCATCCTGCTGTCATCCTTACTCTCTTAATCATCTTTGGTGATCATGGACATAGATTTGAAATCATAGGTTCAGAGAAATATCCCCTCCCTTGCAAGGTGACCTCCAGCTGAACCACGGCTAGAGGTGGCTACCCAGAGGGCTGCATATAAGTGTTCTTGTCACCTCTCCTATTCCTTTTCTCTTCCCACCGCCACCTGCCTATGCTTTAGATGCATGAGTAAATGAAATCCTTGTAATTTCAGAAGTTGAACAGATCCTGCTCCTAAGGAAATAGGCAGTAATCCTGAAACATAGTGTGCATGTGTGTGTCATTTTTTGCTTTGCTTTTTAATTATAAAGAAATTGTGACAGACTTATGGAGGCTGACCTCACCAAGTGAATGCTGGAAGAAGATACACAGGGATTAAAAACTGATTCTATAAAACCAGTTCTTTCGGCACCTTTCCCTGATCTTAGGCAACTAGGTCATAATTAATACCTCAGATGAGGTAAGGGGAATACCTGCCCTAGTTATTCCCCAGAGTTGCATGGATTAAATGTGAAAGCATTTATGGAAAACACATGTTGAGCAAGAGGAAGGTAGGAGGACTTACTTTGCAGGCATCTCTTTTGCCAGACATCACTCCTGCACAGAGCATCCGAGAAGTGATGATCCCGTAGGTGGAAACACAGAGGGTTTGATCAATGAGCTCTACCTCTGCTTGCTGCAAAACAGGGGAGCCTTTACTATCTGGAAAACACGTTGGAGTTGGAAATCACGGTAATGGTAATGACTACATCTCTTCAAGGTTTCATTTGAATGATAACTCAGATTATCTCCTTTAACCCTCAGAGCTATTCTTGGAGATGAACTCTATTATTATCCCTATTTTGTGATGAGTAAAAGGAATCTAGGGAGATAAAAGGACTTGCCCAGTGGCATATAGCTAGCAAATACCAACAGGATTTAGACCCAAGATCTGCCTCCCCCACCTAAACCACTGTCCCATACTCCTTCATCTCCTGCATTTAGAATGACTGTGAGTCAACAAAGCTTAGTACCAATATTTTCTGTTCAAGAGAGCTCCTTAAGTAAAGGAGCACAACTGACATATGGAAGTCTCTGAAGAATCATAAAAACAATTGTTTCTATATAGCTCTTTCACTTCCCTTTAAACATGTTTGGCTAAGATGATACACACACACACACACACACACACACACACACACACACACACACATGCTTATAAAAAAAATGGGTAGACAATTCCCTTTGTGATACTGAAATTAAAGCATGGAGCATAGTAGCCTATCAGAGTTGTAAGTATTTGAACACCTAGCTGCCTTCTCTCTCAGGACTCTGAGGCCTCAGCATATAAAATGAAGGTGAATCTTACTACTTCAGTAACTAACTGAGGACAGTGAGCATTTGAGAAGCTGCTCACAGTGAATATTTAGACAGTGTCAAAGCAAGCATTCAGGGAAAGTTCAAGAATCACAGACACTGTCCTAAACCCTTGGATAGGCTGCAAGGGAATCCCAGATGACTGGGAGGTCAAAGGCAAGTTCTAGCAGTAACCTCTGGGGACATGTACATGAAGCTTTGTATTTTTCTCCTCATAATATATTCAGAATCAGCTAGTTCATGGAATCCTAGTTCATGGAAAAATCATGGCAGGATGAACATACAGCCTTCCCTAGCATACTCCCTGACTTGGGTACATATTGGAAAATGATGCTTTTTTTCTGGGTGGAAAGGCACAAAAAGGTATCCCCTCTGAGTGGACCAATTCTAGGTTGGTGTAATGCCCAATCCTGGATTAGCTAAGGGCAGGCTGGATTTCTTTCTTCACTTTCATCCCTTGGCCAAGAGTCCTGGTGCAGGACATACCTGCAAAATCTTCTACATGGGTGTCTGAGTTGACAGTGGAGTGTACATACATAAAGGTCCTCTCCTTTATAAAAATGAATCACATCTTGGAATAAAAGAGAAGCCAAGGAGGAACTGTTCTTATCTAGTGGAAATCACAGCATCTCTTCAGAGTTTGAAAAGAGCCCATGCTATCTGGTCAATTCTGCTTTTGTTTAAAGGTTCCCTCCATCTCCCTGCTTCTTTTGGAGCAGATGGAAAGAATCATAAGACATGGATGAAATAGTCTCCTCCAATCCAAACTTTCAGAGTTGTCAGGAGGCCCAAAGAAGATGATATATACGAATCTTCTCTGGGAACCCCAAAGCACAGCATTAGCATAAGTTACTCTCATCCGTGTGGAAGGCCAAGCCCATTCATTCACACACGGACCTGCCTCATGCCTTCGCCCCCAGCCGGTAACCCAGCACTTCTCCCCGCTGCGCACTTTCTGGCCAACAGGAGGAATACAGATTGGCTGAATGAGCTGTTTCAGGGTCTCAGGCCAGGCGACACTGAGCTGTAGCAAAGCAATATCATAGTCGAAGGTCTGACTGTTGTAGTACTCGTGGACCACAATCCTTCTCAATGGGGAAATAAACTTGGCATTCCCCTGCACATACATCCCAAGGTGAGCCGTCCACGGTGTGGGGTCTGACAACCTGGTAGAGAAGGAATGAAGCACCAAGTTAGCAGTCTGAAGAATCCCACAGTTTAGAAACAAGCACTCTACAGAGAGATGAGGGCTGAAGAAAGGAGGTCCTGACTTGCAGTGGCTTTATCTTAGCCCCTGACTCTGTCCAGAAGCATGGCAAGAAGCACAACTTCTCTGCACCTTCTTTGTGTAAAACCAGAGATTAAAAACAACAAAACAAACAAATAATAATAAAAAAAAAAGTCCCCAGGAGTGGCCAATTATAACTATGTTTCAGAAACATTCTAAGGAAATTTTCTTGCCACTGGTATTTCACAGGTCACACACAGGTCAATAATGTTTATAACTAGAGTTAATTGGTTAAATTCTTCCCTTTCATTCTAACAATGGCATCTGATGGAGACAAACAGGGCCAGTAATATGGTGATCTGGGGGCCCTTCTACCAAATTCAAATGATATCAATTTCAAGACAGATTAGAAAATGAAGTGTTTACCAGTACAACGAGAAGAATGGGAAGTTATATTCCATGTATGTATAATATATCAAACTACCGTCTACTGTTATTTATAACTAAAAAGAACAAATAAAAAGTCAATGTAAAAAAAATTGAGTGCTTTAAGCAGAAATTTAATGAAATTCCTTCTTGCTGCAAGCTACCAGAAGCCTCATAGCTGCTGTAGCTGCTTAAGTATGACAGTCAAAGGGATACCAAACTCCACCCCCATGATCAGTCCTTCCAGAATTCTAATGTTGACCCTGCCCCCTACCCTGCACCGAGTCACAGAGGGGATTGTAGTCTCCATGTGTGGCTTTGATCTCACCCTGGGGCAACCAAAGAGAAGTTCAAAGTGAAAAGAATATGAAAACTCTTGGAAAAAAATAAGGACACAGCAGTTTCACAGCATTTAAGATTAATGATCAGAGGTGAAGCTATTTCAGTAATTAACATGATTCCTGTAATTTATTGGAAGAGTAAATACTCAAATTGAATAACTTAGTCGAAATCTCTTAAAATTCAGAATATGAAATTAGTTTTGTACCTAAGGTCTAGTAGATTTAAATAAGTTTAAATTTCAAGTTAGATCACTTTTTAAGCTTCTCTTTCACCCTTAGCTGGAAGATCTTCTGTCTCATAATAATCCCACTGGCAAAGGTAGACAGAGCCCCTCCAATGCCAACCCTAACAGACCTTCCCAGGATCACCCCCAATGCAAACAGGGATCCCCATACTCCAGCCACCCTCCTCCACATTCTCCACACAGCCTATTAGGTCTGCCCATCTGACTTGAAAGCCCTCTCTTTATTTCCTCAGTCTAGTAAAAACTATTCATTCTTGATGTTTCGTTTGTGTTCTTTCTTTATCTCAATGATACCTAAAATAAATAAAAACTATTTGACACGTAACCAGTGCCCCCATCCCACCAAAACAAATAAAAAGGTAGCCCGATTGAATTGATTTTTATTTTTTTTTTCCTACTAGGGGCTTCTTCTCACAATTCAAGGCAGATGTATGGTCTGTTGTCAGAATGTGCCACTCAAAAGTAAGGTTTGGGATACCCTACCTGTTTCCATGGAAACAGTGGGCCGCAGAGAGAAGCCACTCCCTGGAGATGACGGAGGCGCCACAGTAGGCAGATCCAACAAAGTGGAGGCTGACCTGCCATGGCCAAGCCCCCTCCTGGGAGTCAGTGCCCCCGACGACTCGGTGGACAGTGGAGGAATGCCTGCTACAGCCTTTGGTAGAGAGGAAGGGTCATTCGATTTAAGGCAGACTTGAAGAAAAACTGGAAATTAGGTCAGGTTCGGTGCTGGGCTGGGAACTGAGTCACCAAGTAAGCAATTTAAAATCACCTGCTTATCTAGAAAGGAATTTTATGGGTCTGTCTGAAACCAGCACCAGAAGACTACTCCTTCCTTCCAGAAAACAAGCCCTAACAGGAAATCTCCATACAGTAATGCATGCGGAGGCAGAGGGATCCATAGTAACAGCTGTACTGATACAAACAACAGCCCTGGTGTTAGGTGGCTAGTTGGAGACGAAAAAGGTAAGTTCTGATATAACAAAATTGATAGTGTGTTTGAAGCTGTGCTAATCTAAGAGAAAAATTTGTAAAACAAAGATAAATTAAAGCCTAAGACAAATTAGTTTTCAGAGCAATTACTTTTAGTGTAATTTACTTTTTGTGTAAATAGTATCGATAATGATATATAATTAACCTGTTGCCACATGGCCAATTAGAAGCCACATGACTAAAAAGAACACATGGCACAGAACAGTTAATGGGTTTTGAATCAACAAAGAACCAACAATTGATATTGTTCACAAAGTAAGATATAAGCAAAAATCCTCCAGAAGCCCACTTTTTCATTTGTCACAGGCTATTTTACTTAAGACCTTCTTCCTTCATTAGTGTTACTAGTAATTGAAAGCTCTCTTTGGAAACATCTAGTGTAGTGATGCTTAGTATCAAGAAAGAAGATGGAGAAATAATTTCAGACTCAGCTCACCAAGATTTACTATTATTTCCTGGTGTGTGGTAACATCTGCCAGGGGAATTCCATGAGGAAGAGAATAAAAATGGAAAATGGGCAAACCAGGTGGGA